ACATTGCCAGCTGGAGAAAACAGGTCTGGTAAAATGTTTTAACACAATAGAAAGAGGAAGATTGAGCCTAGACATTCTTGACAACCTACAGATGCAAGCAATAGTGCTTTATGGCACGCTTTGTTCTGTTAATTATGTATACTGAATATAATTAAATATGTGAAGCTGTTTTAAGGTGTTTGACTTCACAATTATAGTGAATGACCAATGTTTAAGTGCAATTTGGGCTTTTCCCTGTGCTATTAAAGCAGACATCAAAGCCCTCACTCACTGAATTATACTCATAAAGGACATCAAAACCTAAGTTATAGCTCAGATATTTTGCCGTGCTAACATGGACATAGCTACTGTACATGGAGCATGCAAGAAATGAGAAGCCAAGCTTACACAAGAAGGTCAGATGCTTTGTTCCTTTGTTTGCCCAAAGCAAGAGCTATTCTGTATATATGTATATATATACACATATATATATACATATATATATACACATATATATATATACATATATATATATATATATATATGTCTGCAGCAGCAAGTCAAAAACAATTTGTCATGAGTTTGATGCAATCTCTCGTCAAAAAAAAAAAAGTCAACTTGGCACAAGATGGCACCTTGCTTTAATGGTAAATTAAACCTAAGTGAAATGAAATACAAATACAGGAAAAACAAGGGAATCAAAAAGTACAACTCTCACAGAGAAAGCACAATGGTGATGTTATTTTTTAAAAGTCTTTTGTGGGGTGATCTAAAACAACACTTTTGAATTATTTAGTTAAAAATAATGAATTGTTGACAACAACTACTACTACATCTTTTAGTTGTTAGGCATTTTGAACTGCCTGCTTTTACTAGTGATCTGACCAAGAACAATAATTACCATAGAGTAGCCTTTTTATACCAAATCCGATGGTACATTTCTTTTGGCCAATGTTTAACTACAATTATTATTTTTGACCTATAAAAATTAGAAGAAGAAAAAAGAGATAAGTCCAGAGAAGAGATAAAAAGATAAATCCATGTAAAACCAAGTCTTGTTAATGCCATGGAGATTTAATGACATAACAAATCAAAGTCTTTTCAGAGAATAAAACTATCCTCTCATTATAGCCTGGTGTGTTCCTCCAATGTTTAATGAATTGTGCTTGTGTAAAGGCCCTGGAATGACAGAGTGAGTTAGCAGACTATATTTAACTACAAGCCTCTGGTGATGACCTGGAACAATGTGAGAGAGACATGAGCGACATAGCAGAGCTTGAACGGCAGCAGTGCTTAATTGATCTGTGGATTAAGGTACAAACTGTATTATCACAAAGTGTGTCAGTACAGTACAGTAGTCACTGCTCCTGCAAAGCTGTGTTCTCCTGTGCACACACTTGCACCTGTCTACGTCATTTCTGCAAACCATGTGGGAAACTTTTATGCTAATAACAAATAACCCTTTAACACACATTCAGACATGGAACAGGACCAGGATTGTTTTCTGACCTAATTTGGGGCTCGACACAGAGACAAGTACATCTCTCATTTTCCCACAACAAATCAATGATTGTTCTATGTACGTCAGTACAAGCACAACCAGATCAAGAGAAAACAAATATTTACCCGACAACCTGTAAAAAACAAGATAGGTTTGCACTGATGTTGACAATTTACATTGTTTTAAATGTGTTATTGTTATTATTAATGATAAAGTATTATTTTGTAATAATGCTATTTATTATCATCATCAACTTTTTTTTATTTAATTTTAATAATACCAAGATCAAGCTCTCTTTTGCCAAGAGGTAGGCAGTCCATGTCATTAAATATTATCCATTAATTGATTTTTTCTTTTAATATTGGTCATAAATGACACCTTGCTCTGTGAACTGTATAATTGTATTTTAAATTAAATACAAGGGTTTGCTTATTGGGTGGCGCTCTGGCCCAGAGGCAATGTCTCTGTCATTGGACCTCAGGGTTCACCTTGATCGAATCCCGGTTAGGGCGGTTGGTACCTTCCAGTGGACAAACCACCTGTGCTTCATGATGGCTGGATGACAATATGTGGTTCAACAACATTATCAATATCTCTGACGCCTGTCTGTCTGTTTGGACAGAGCATAAGGCCTAAGTCAGGTCAACACAAAGCAGTTACTCACTCTGACAGCTGTGTCTAAAAGCTTTCCACACTGAACTCTGACATTGCCTTTGATGGTCATTCATAAACATGGTTGTGGTTTATCTAGTTTGGGTCGCTTACATTTTATATAACATTTTGGTCAATCTCTTGCACAAAACATACAACACAAATTAATTGCAGATCCGGACCAACACTATGAGAAAACCCACATAAGAGAAGATTTTTCTAGGTCTATTGTGTATTTTTACAGCCCATTAAAGGTTGCAGGACCTTTGACATCCTTAATGTTTGAGGTTTGTGCTATTCGTGGGGGAAATAGTTGGTTTTTGCTCTGCCCTAATCATTTTAATTAGTAATTAAAATGTTAATGCAGTGGTATTGCTTCAAAACGCCAACAAACTTAATTATTAATAATAATGACTAATTCTTAATAATTCTTAATAATGGGTATTCTCGCAGAAGAAAGGAAACAAAATTACAAATCAGTGAACTTTTTCACACTGTGGCAAAAATAATACTTGAATATTATATATTTAATATTAGATCAAATAAACATGACCTGATATGCCCCTATTCCCCACACAAATGTGTGTACCCAAGCGGGGGTTAAAATGATCTTTAAAAAACCCAAAACATTCTCATTTATTTGCCGCGACAGCGGACTCTCTTTGCGTTGTGTTAAATAATTGCGGTAAAATCATCAGCTTGGTACGTCTGGTACGTCTGGTACGTCATTTTTTAAATTCTGGCATAAAAAGTAAAAAACAAAGTCAGTCCATTTTGGAGACACACACACACACACACACAGGTCTGACGCTGAAAATATCAAGTAAATAACAGTACAGTTAATGATAAAATTAATATAATTAAAATTAATGAATGGCGGACCTCCTAACATGTACACCTACCATAAGGACAGCAGAGCCCGACCGTCGCTGCCCGGGGTTCACGACTCTAATCAGCAGGGGTGGTGCATTTAATGACCGTACGATAAATGAAGGTTTTTCTTACGTGGTGGGGAATAAACTCTGTTATATGGCGAGTGGAACCATATTTTTATAACTCTGTTATACATTTTATTCCATACAAGTATTTTATGTATGGATCGTATAACAACGTTAAGTTTTTTTTAAACTTTAATACTTCAGAAACTTATTATACTCTAAAATTATTGGTCTGCTTTAAACATTTACACATTTATTGTATTTGCATGGCTCTCGTAGAAATATATTTTAAAATATGTGACTTTTTTGGCTCTCTCTGCTGAAAAGGTTCCCGACCCCTGCTATATGTAGTATAGCTTAAAGCAAGATGTAGTTCAAGAAAGCCAAGCTTATGCAAGGTCAAATGCTTTGTTCCCTTTTTTGCTCAAAGCAAGAGCTATTCTCATTTCTGCAGCAGCATGTCAAAAATAATTTTGTCACGAGTTTGATGCAATCTCTCGTCAGACAAACAAAGAGAACAACAACAACAAAAATCTTGGCATAAGATGAGTTTTACCAGAAATCACAAAAAAGTGCAATTGTTGTTAGTTCAAATCGGATGCTACTCTACGTATATGTAGAACAGCTTAAAGCAAAATGTAGGTCAACCTGAACTGAACAACTCCTGAGTCCCAGCCTCCACTGAATGACAAATGTATACCTTATATAATTAGCCTTACAAAAGAACAGTGTCGGATTAACTACTGCAATCACACAGAGCACACATTAGTTGTTGTACATTAGCTGCTAAGGTGCGACCTTACATAACCAGGAAGACACAGACAGACAGCTGTCATCACTGACTATTGCATCAAAATGTAGATTTAGATAAAAAAAAAAAATGAGGAGAAATAGCTTTGTTAACTGTGTTTTTATAATCATTTTTAAATTTGTCTTTGGTTTGTATTTCAAACTTTGTATTCAAAATTCAGAATGTTCTAACCTCTCCACTCACACACAGCTCACGTATGGATTTATGCTGTAACTTCGTCATTCGTCATCCCTGCGTTTGTAAATTTATTAAGTTTAATTTTGGTTTAGTTTTGTAAGCTGATATCAAAGTAAAGCGGGTACTTAGATAAATGCCGACTACTGCCTCATTATTGTTATTAGGCACCAGTGAAAACGACATTAACTCACACGGTTGTTGTTAGTGCAATGCTGCTCTCTTCAGTTCAAATGTGATATGTGAAACGACACGTAACCAGATGTAATGAAATGTAATAGGTAGGAACTAATGTTGGGGAACCCTTTGTGTGACGTACATAAACCAGGCTTTTAGTAAAGAATTTAAAACATCACCGATACTTATACAGTACATATGTGGTACCAGCACAATATGTTCCGCCGTAATGTTGAAGTAACGATCCCTTGTTATTTGTTAACACTATGGGCAATTGTTGATAAATAAATGTATCACCTAACAATGATTAAGAAGCCTAATTTTAATTTTGTTGTTAAGGGTTTGCTAGGTAAATATACTCTACTGATGTTCCATTTTATAGGCATATTTTAAAAAATGAATAAAAAATGTAATACATTAAGCTTTAACATAATTCTGTCCACGTTTTTTAAAATATTCATATCGACGCATACATGTGTTCTCACACTGCCCTCTTGCGATATGAGAATGTTACAGTTGCTACCGTTGTTAAATTCAGTTTCTAATTTGGATTTAATTTTAATTAAAATTAAGCCCAACAGCATCGTGTTAACGGTGAATAATCGAGTCTGCAGCGATGGAGGAGCTCAGGCATTTTGACAACGCACGCCAATGAGTGGACAATCAAGAGAAAAACAAAGGAAAAACAAGGCGCTCGATTAATCACACAGTTTATAAAATTTTAAAAACTATCATCAACTACCATTGATTATAAAAGAATCGTACTTACAAAACCAGCGTGGTTGAAATTGGATGGATGTGGGGTAAAAAAAAAAAAAACAGAACGCAAAGGAACAACAAGACTAAATCCACCTGAGAGATGTGGACACAGGTGAAACTGATCCAATGCAGGTGGATCACATCGGCAAACAATTAGTAAACATGCTGGTTAAGTCCTTTTTATTGGTAATTCACAACTTCAAAGTACAAAACACGTTTTGCCTCAATGGGCAAGTTTTCAGTTTTTACAGTAAAATCAACGGTATACTTCCAAAAATCCCGCTGTAGGAAATGGAGAATGTATTAAAGTAATACAAGACAAGATATTTTAAATAAATAACATGAAAACAGAAATAAACATTATTGTTTATGCAAATATGTCTGCTGATTCATCTAAATATGACTAGTTTATTCATGTGATCTATCAATTGCACAGAACAGGTTTTATTGCTGAAGGTGAGTGTGTTAATCTCTTAATGAAGGGAGAAACATTATACATGTATACAACTATTGTACAGGTGTTTCAGGGTTTGTATAATCCCCGGTTTCAGGGAGACAGTACAACAGTGGAAACTTTTAGTTGTACCACTAGTCTAACACAACAAGTCCTGAACACCCAGGGAAAACAAATCACCGCATTTAGACGAATTCCACTTGTTTTTGTCTTTGAAAAAAAAGGTAATTAATTCTAATTAGAATTATGTGTTGCTGTTATAGGGGCAAACCTCTCCACATTTCTATACACGTGTCCACCGTGCCTTAGAACCACCCTTTCCAAACAGAAATGCACACCATAGTTACAATGCCCCCTACTGACAACAACACATGCCTTTGTACTTTCTTTGACTGCGTAGTCGTAGTCTTCGACAGCTCCATCCTAAATTCTCAGGTAAAATGGAAGTGTGACTCATCCATTCACACTCACATTCACATTTGAAATAACACTTATGGTCACATTAGAGTAAACCTAATCCTTCATGTTTACGTAATAAAGTACATGGAGAAACGTGGACACAGAAAGACATTTAAACTCAATACAAACAGATCATTACTTTGCACCAGGTCCTGAACTGTTGACCTTTTTGGGGTTAGGCAAAAGCACTAAGCCCTGTGTGGCCCTGTCTATTACATGTAATGTAACTTATGGCCCAATCTTGAGAGGGCACCAAGGGGTTGAATACAAGCAGTTCCCTAATGCCTTTGGCCATGCACTCCCTTCTATATCGCATCTCCAATTCCCCACACTTTCAAAAATAAAAAAATAAAAAAATGTATAATTCAAACAAACAAACAAACACAAACACAACAATTATATTGTGCTATATACTAAATAAATGTCACTGTACCTGGTCGCTTTCATAGCTGATAACAGCAGCTAACAAGCAGTGGCTGCTAACCCATAATTTAGCAGGTCAATGCCAAGTGCATTAGCCACAACTACATGCTAAATCTGCTAAATTCTAGCTAAACTCGACGCAACTGCTGTTATTAGATTAACACACGGTTATTGCTGTGTGTTAATCTCTTAATGAAGGCAAAACATAATACATGTGGGTCAACTATTGTACAGGTGTTTCAGGGTTGGCATAATCCCTGGTTTCAGGGAGACGGTACAACAGTGGAAACTTTTAGTTGTACCACTGGTCTGACAAAACAAGTCTTTCTATTGTTCACCCAAGGAAGAAAATCACATTCATAACATTTTATGACAAAACATACAACAGGTTAATTATCAACTCTGGCTAGCATGATAAAGCAAGTTGATACCAAATGCATTAGCTACAACCACATGCTAAACCTAGCTAAACTCAGATAAACCCAACAAGATTACTATTGCCGTTGAATAAATAAAAAAGTGTAACAGTAATCAAGCAAGGTTTTAAAATGTTAAAATGTCAAATTTTAAGCTTTTGCTTATACAAATGAAAGTGAGACTGGAGGGACTCAAACATATTTGTCATAGTACTGTTATGGGCACATAACCACAAAACCTATGACCGAGCCAATAAACTGGACAGTTGGTTGCAAAAAAGTATTCATGCTTTAATTAATGTGTGAAACTCATACAGTTCACATAGTAGAGAATAATAATAACACCCTTGGGAAAATCTGTCATCTTCCATCACAGAGGTGTAAAATTAGCATGAGAATAAATGTTGAGCAGAGTAAAACACAAATGTTGGCTGTGTTGTAATACCAAGGTTCTTTAGAAAAGTAGCGGAGGTACTTTATGCTACATGTTATGCCCCATACATGATAATGTTTGGTATGAAGGTGTTAAAAATATCAGCAAAACAATAAATGACTAGCAAACCGTTTTGTTCTGATATAATGCAGCAAGTTAAACATGTCATGAAAAATATAACTTGTATTATGTTAACATAGTTAAGCTATAGCTATATAGCTCTGTTCAATATAATCATGTTAGCTATAATCATCAACAGCAGCTTAGCATATGATAAATACTTAAATGTACATGTTCACATACAGTAGCCCATGAGTTAAGCACTTCTAGTACACACACAGTAAATATTAGCAGAGTAAGTGGGGATACTTTTCTACATACTGTATATAAATACCATTACAGATAAGCAGCTTTTAACTAGGTGTTTTAGAAGTACCATGTGACGTTATATAATTATATACAATTATAACCTGTGCACCAAAACCAAATCTGACACCATTTTGTCATCATCAGACTCATCAAAAATTTCAAATCATTTTCTGTACAATCATATTTGAGCTTTTATCTCATTTGGTGTGAATGCACATCATGAGAGCAGCACCAGACGCAGCTGTTCAAAAGAAGGCTCAGAGTGTAATGATGTACCAGGAAACAATTTTTACCTGGATACAGCAATGTAGTTAAAAAAGAATCTTCTGCCAGAGAAGAAAAATAAACAACAAACCAGGTTACACGATCATATTGTCCATGTCCTTACAACATTAATTTTGACATTAAATCAAATAAAAAATTTAAAGACATGATTCAGGAAGAATCTGGTAGAATTAGGGGAAAAATCATTTGATTCTTTTGACTCTTATTGTCACTTTTTGAAATAAAAAAATATTATACTTTGACATTGCCTTAGACCAGAAGATCCCTGGTTTGATACCGCCTAGTCCCCAAACCAACCTGGGTTTTGTCAAGAAGGGCATCTGCCAAGTTATTATGGGAACAACTGCTGTGGTGACTATTAAAAGGTATAAAACAAATCCATCTTCCTGCAAAGTACCACCTCTGGTCACTAGGGGGCAATGTAGTTTAGAATTGCCACCTCTCAGAACGGAATACAAATTAAATGTTTGCATGGTTGTTGTTACTAGCATAACCAGCAGTTTGAAAAATAGCAGTGCTTTATCATCTGTTTTCTTCTAAATAGAACTAACGTTGACAAAGGTTTTGTGAGTTTTGGTAAATGAGTAATCAAAGGAGTAAAAGAAACACTAATACAAAACAACCAACAAAACTGGACAGTGCATCATCAACTAATCCTGCAGTATTTATAGCTGTGCATTATTCCATTTGTCCTTTATTATTGAAGGCCTCCAAGCAGCAATCCTTAATTCCATTTTAAATAATTGATATAAACTGCTGCGAAATAACAGTGAACTAATAAAATGATACAGTTGATTGTAAACTAACATAATTTCCAGCCAGTATTCCTATTACATTCCTAATTTACATGACCATAAAGATTTGACCTCAACATAATTCTTAAACATTGCTTGATCACCAACCAATGGGATTCAGTTTATGTAAAAAATCTCAACTGAGTAGCTAAGTCCAAGAACTGAAAGCTAGTATTAATATTGTTATTAAAATAAACATTACTAATTGTTGAAGAGTAAACGTCCCTGACATGGTCATAAAAATGAATTATGGAAATAAATGAAGAGGATGAAATGACGGGTTAATTGTGGAAAATGCTAAGAAAAATAATACACTGCTGTTTATAATCCTAAATAAAATCGAGGGAGTGATAGCACGCTGTACATTTAGTTGAATGTATGCATATTTACATTCCTGGGACTGCTGAGCCTTCATTACTTTGTCGTACACTTGGTCTGAGTTACACCTAAATTTGCTCAAGGAGAATTTGCTAAATGTCGGACTTGTGAGTCACGTGTGGCGTTAAAGCACACAGACACACAAGAGCACAGCAGCACAGACCTTGCCTGGAAAAGGCTGAAATGAGAGCCCCTGTACTTCAGGTGAGTACTGGTCATTTTGTGACTTCTATAAAATCACATCTTCAAGTACCCATATATCATATGGACAAGAAGGAAATGAGCTTGATAGCTGAATCTGGGTGTTTCTGGTTTAAAGCTATACAGGGAAATACTCTTCAATTGGACAGATGACCAGTGGAGCCGTGTTTTTCCCATTTTCCTGCAGGCAGGGGTTAAAGTAGGGGTAGAGAGGCTCAGTGAAGGCGCAGCCACTGTAGGTATATATGTGAGTCTTTGCTTCTACGTTGAAGAAGGACACTGTGCCTTCCTCATAGTCCAGGAAGATGCCCACTCTCTGCGGCGTCTCCTGGAGGTGGAGGGTGACTAAGGGGCCGGCGCACGCATTGAGGCTGCCACCTTTACGCCTGCATATGGCCCAGAAACCACAGTCTGGACGCACAGTGATGGCCCCTTTTGTGTTGATGGATTCCCTGGCCACACCCAGATCCCAGTCAGTTTTCTCTCCAACCTAAAAGCAATGCACAGAATATAGAATTATTAGAAGTGTTGAAGTCACATTACAAATGAGGATCATTTTGAAAGAGCTGTAAACCTTAACTGTATATCCCTTCCTACAGTCATTCTAATCCATTATCTGCCTCTGGATTTGATTGTTTCATTTGTGCTAAACAAATACTGGTCTCTTGACTTGACAAAATGTGAGAATGTTTATTTTTTAAATGACACAACGACATAACATTCAATTTGTTTTCCAAATAAACATTTGTGCGATACTACTCTTCACAAGAGGGGGCACAGAGCTACTAATTTGACCACAAAGTGCTAGGCAAGAGAGGGAAATGTCGGACTACATAAAAAATAAAATTAAAACATTAGTAAGTAGTTAGTAAGTCGTAAGTAAGTAAATCCAAGATAAGATACAAGTAAATAACTGGTCGGCAACTATGTTTTTGTTTGGTTTTTTAATTAAATGCTAATCTAAGAAAAAGTTTTAACTGTACTCTTGCATTAAAGCTAATGTTTATCCAATGAACTAAGCACCTACCTGCACAACCCAGTAGCGCCTCCCAGAGGTGAAGCTTTGTTTACCCAGAATGGAGACGCAGGAGTCAAACCTGCGGGATTCGTTAGGGAGCGACAGCTTCCTTGGCTTGCTGCTGAGGCTCACCTGTTTATCACCAATGGGTGGCAAAAAACAATTATTATGTTGTAATGAACTTTGTTGCCACTAGAGGACAATCGAGTCATTAATATGACCTCACCCGTTTGAAACCCTGACGTAAGTAAAGCACAACATCTGCAGTATAGTGTATTTACCTTTTTTCTATCAGAGGAGACGATCAGCCAGCCGGTGGCTGTGGCAGCGTCAAAGGTTATATTCACTACAAAGACAGAATTAAGAAAAAAATTAGAACAAGGAACAAATCCTAATGACCTTTGTGACAATTGATTTATATGAGGGAGTGGTGTCAGTGATGACATCCAGTGTAAAATAATTCAGTGCAAAGATTACCATACCGGATCGCCACAGGCCTGGGTTAACAACGGCTATCTCCGGTGCTATTGACCAGCAGGGCGGCGATGGAAACTATACTACTGTGAGTCAAAGACAAAGGACGAGGTGAAAGAGACAGTGTCTTCGGAGGTAGCGGGAGAAAGGGAAAGGATGGAATGTTGATGTGGACGTTGGAGAGTTGGGATAATAATAAATAAATGGATATGAATGTGTTTGGATGTGAAGCAAGGCCAGAAGAAGAACCAGAGGTGGAAGTGTTCTACCATGTTCTGCTACAGTAGAGTTGTGCATCATGGCTGTCATTTTTTATCCAACGTTCGAACATCTGAACGAATACTTCGACTTAGGCAATCAGTCCCAACCATCTGAGTGGACACAAGATGTCGGGCAGGCATGGCAAACCCGTGACTCGGAAGCCACATGCAGCTCCTTGCCCGGTTTCATGCGGCTCTTATGTTCATGTCGATTTTTTATGTTTGTGTTTTTTTACACATGTGAATTTCATACCGATGGGCCTTGGGCACAAAATATGGAAAATAGTTTGAAAAGTTCTGTTAGGCAACAGGACATGGAAAATAGGGACAACCCAATTTGCACAGATGTATACAGGAAGATTTAAAAGAGTGGCAGAGTTTTATTTTTTAATAATTTTTAAAGGGATGGGGCAGTTCACGTGTGCCCAGGTATATCATGTGGCTCTTTGTAGAAACACGGTAAAAATTGTGCCTCTTAGCCTCTCGACTGGTTGGCCACCCGTAATGTAGGATGTAGGATAAGGGTCACATTTAGTGTTTTAAAACAAGTATTTGGTTTTATTTTTCTGTTAAGCTTTAGAATCTTCTTTGTCTGCAACATGACTCGAGAATCCACCAATACATAGATAGTACTTTACTGATCCCAGGCTGGAAAATTGCAGAGCAATAGTCCACGTGAAAAGGCAAATTCTGGGTTTCTAAAAAACCCTACTCTGCCCAGCATTCATCAACATGAAGGTTTCAACAAACACCCCAATGCTGAAAAGGCCAGTGACAGGTGAAGAATAATAAGATCAAAGTGCCAGGAGGACATTCAGTGCATGTGTTTTGGGTTTGTCTCTGAATTGGAAGAGAACCTGACTGTGGTGAAGGCTATTATTTGAACTCAATTTTAACCCTTTGATCCAAAGATGAAGTATTTATCATGAGGGCTGTCATCACCTAGCATGAGTGGAAAGTTAAGGTTGGACTGGAAGAATGAAGTAAAATGTATGAATGTCATTGAAACAGTAGTATGTTAAGATTTAACAAAAAATACTGAATACTGTAGTTGAGAGCATTGGTGCAGTGTACTGGACTGTATTCAAGTGTTCTGCCCAGTGTGAGGGACAGGCTTACATTTGCTACCAGTAACACAGCGGGGTGTGCAGTTTCATCATTTTTTTCACATTGAACATGGAACACATACCTGCATGTTGGCCGAGCTTTTCCACTTCTACAAAAGAGGAAAAAAAACAACCGTTGTTAATCTTTCATACTATGAATTCTAAATGTGATATTTTAAATATATTTATTAGAATAACAAAGGACATTTACAAACCCTCGGCATAGAGTTTCTCCTCCAGTTGGTGGCAGGCTTCCACCAACTTGGAAAAGGCTTTCCTAACTTGTCCCAGGTGCAGGTCATTGTGGACGTTGACTTCAGACCAGTCTCTGGTAGCCAGGGGAATATTCAGAGGTGGGAAACTCTAAAGAAGGAAATGAGGCAGATTTTTTTTTTAACGCAAATAGCGTACATACTTCCTTTTTATTGTTATCTCTGGTAATAAATATAGCACAGTAACATTGAAATACTGCGCCACAACACAGCGGTACGGAATGTCCTTGGAAACGTTCCAATGAAGATGCAATACATAATTTTTTCTAATGCAAGTAACCTTTTTTTTTTTTTTTGTAATGCGGTCCACGAATGAGAACCCAAAAAATATATTGTTTTTATTTACGAATATTCACTGAAACAGAGACTGAATATTTCTGACCCATAAGGAAAAGTTCTGTGAGTGAAGAACTGACCGTGGCCAGGTGAAGTGGATCCTCTGTGTTTTCCAGGATCCTCAGATCAGCGCGTCTCATCTGAAGCTCCCTGATCTCCTGCTCTAGCTCTTTGAGATACTCCTCTGCTTTCTTCTCCGCTTCCTCCTGTTTTTTCTCAATCTCTTCAATCAGTAAAGCTTGGTTTGTCTCAATGGCACTGATCACCTGTGTGAAGACCTCGACGCTGGTCTGGATCACCCTATCCTTTGTGAGCTTCAGAGGAAAAAGGGTCTCAATGAATAACTGCCCTTATGGCAAATGTTTAGGATTCAGTGCATCGTGACACTGTCGACTGGTTTGTGTGGCTAAACAGTAGGTTTGCAAGTACAATAAATAGAACTTACTTTGCTCTGTTTAACTGACTGCTTGATCTCCTCACACTTTCTCAACCTCGCCTCGATTAGACGCTCACACTCTGCCCCGCTCTTCTTGATCTCACTCTGTTGAAAACAGCGTCAGTTCATTTGAGGGACAGACATCGGCAGCTGAGAAGATAAACAGACAGATAGATGATTACCATGACCCTTCTCTATGGGCACGGTGTTATGGTATTTATGATCCCTCTCTGTGCATTTCGCACACACTGGCATCTGATCGTCTTTGCAGAACATCCCCAAGATTTTCCTGTGACTTCTGCACAGGTGGCTAAACGTTCCTGTGTCTGTGAGCCTGTGCATGGTCAGAACTGGATCTCTAAGGTGAGGCGTCAGGTGTATTTCACAGAAAGACATTCTGCACACCAGGCAGGACTTGACGGCTGAAGCCTTTACGCCTTTGCAGATGTCACAGGAAACGTCAGTCACAGAAATCTGCCTTTGGAGAGTCTTGGGTGGCGCCTTGTTTTTCAGTGACCTGTGGAGCGGATACACAAGTTTGGGTCAAATGCACATTGCAATTCATTGTTAAAAAAAGTACACCTAAACACGTCAGACCTTTTGAATTCCTCGGTGATCTCTTTTAAAACTATGTTAATCCTCAGGTCTGGGCGATGTTTGAAGGACTCTTTGCACAGAGGACACACAAATTTGTGTCTCGTATCCCAAAAGTGATTGAGGCAATCTAGGCAGAAATTGTGGCCACACTGGATGGAGGTGGGATTGGTGAAGAGGTCGAGGCAGATGCTGCACCGGAACTGATCCTCTGACAAAGTGGGAGCCATGATTTTCCTGCGAAACAACACGATGAGGTGATTATTAAGAACAGCTCAGTTAAATAAAGTTAATTGTCTAGGCATTAGTAGCACGTAGTTACAATAGAACAGAAGGTATTCAAGAAGTTTCTGTCAAAGAACTTTATAAAATACTTTGAAATACAAATTAAAATACCACTCTACGTTGATGATGTGCAGATTGTTTTTAAAATTAAACGATTGTAATCTACATTTAGGTCTGAAACGTCTTAAAAAAAAGAATCATGTGATTCAACAACAATGACATGAGTTCACTGTAAAACTCAGAGGATAATTTTACCTTTAAGTTGACACCAGTCTCCCAAGGTTAGTAATATATCATGTTCCCACACTGTGATACCATATGAATGTTTGCATAACAGTGTCCAGTTGTCCTTCATTATAAAATATGTATTATGTTGACCATCCCTTGAGTCAAACTAGAAACTATTTGGCTAAGTTTCAACATGTCTTTTTTTCCCCACAGGTAAAAGGAAAAAAAAATTTTTTTTTTTTTTTTTTTTTTTAAGCCTATCCCTTGGGCGAGGCCTCTACCTGCAACACAAATAATAAATTAGGTTGTGGTAATTAAAATTGTCATAGCAATTTAACATGACCTATAATTATACACTCAACATTTTCAAAGTGCTTCACATAGCAGGCCACAAAAAAGAAGGAATTAACTTGAAGACATTGTGTAACTGGTTCAGTTTAAGTATTTGACAGTGTTGTTGCCGCCTTAAAAAAAATGTAGTGTGTCTGCTTTATTTATAAAAAACAAACAAACATCAGAATTCAACTTTTGCTTAGTAAAATTAATTTGACAGAAATTGCCACTATATGCAGATGATTCCTTTTTGTTAGAAAATAAAAAACACATTTTTACAAGATAAAAAGGGGATTGATTTGTGTACTTGTCCAGGCAAAATCAAAACTATAAAATAGCGTAAAATAATTTTAATTTTTTTTTAGTTGATTAATCCATAAGATGTAACAGTCAGTGAGTCAAAGTTATATTTTGTAAATAATATTTCTCCACAACGATAACAAGATTAAACGATATGTGATATTTCTTTTACTTTGTCCCTTTAGAAAGTGCGGCAGTGTTAATTATGTCCTGGATATGAATGTGGTTGGATTCAGACAGTGATTAATTTGTAGCCAAGTCTGGTACAGCAGCTAATTAGTGGTCACCTTCAGGTACAGCGAGTACCATTGCTTAGTAATCTAAACTGAACCCTAATTAAGTTTAATTATAAGGATCCCTATTAGTCAACTCACCAGCAGACACCTGCACTTCTATGGTTCTCATATTAACACAGGAAAAAAAACAAACGTTAATCCACGACATTCACTATTATAAAAGGAAAGGCCTTATTCTGACATGTTTTTATGTGGTCAACTATTCCTTCTTCAGAGAAGGCGTTAATGACCTGCAGCACGGATTAGATCGCCAGGTTTTCACAGGTGAAGCATCGAAAGAGCAGTGAATTCAAATATTCACCTAAAGTCTTCAATGAAGTCATCTTAACCATATTTGTCATCGTCTTAAAGCCTGTAAAAAATACTTCACTTGTTTAAAGCATTATGATAAAGAATTAAACTTGTTGCCTTAACTATTGAACAAATTGGTTAAAAGCGCTGCATTTGTAGAGGCGTCAGTTAAAACCTTTATAATCTTTGGAGCTGCTGGTTAAGAACAGGATCATGGATTATTTGTTATGGAATGTTATTGAAGCCTCTATGTCAAAAATAGTAAGTAGTAGATTGAAGGATTAGAACACAGTCATTAAGCAAAATTAACACTGTATGACAGCATCAGATTTCTACAAACTAAAGGCAGGAAGATTTCCTCAAACCTGTATCTGTGTGTGGTGAAATGACTTCTATGGTCAATATAAAAAATATATTTCTGTGTATTGTAATTTATTGTATTTTGTCAAAACTTTTGTCATGGTTTATTTTTGAGGTATCACTGGCCATTTATTCAATATATTTTCAGAGAATGTTCCAAAATGGAAGAACATAATGTGTAAGAGACCTTGGCAAGTAGAAAACTAAAATCTCAGTGTATCAGTACAAATTTATACAAACTCTCGCAAACAAATTCAGTAAACTATGAACAATCTGTTTTACAGTGACCTCCCATCCAGCGTCTTCACCAAATTTAAAATTCTCTCATAATGTCCTACTGTGGTATTTCATCTTTTCTAAGTATCTAAAGTACAAACGGCAGACCGAGGTGTCTTACCTGTGAGGAAGATACTCCTTAGGGATGGGTTGACTGCCACTGAATGGACTGAATGCAAACAAACAGTTTCTTTTCAAACTCTGACTTTGGTGTTCAACTGGTATTTCTGGTTCTCACTAGCTGTTGGACTTTACTTCCATTTACATACAACACTTTAATTGAGCCCTTCACTTGTTTTCATCGGTTGGCGATTAGCAAGTGCTATAATTGTTTAATAATTAGACTGGTTATAATACAAATACCCACTCTCTTTCAGTCACAACAAAAGACAGAGATCTGTGTGTTGTTAGTTATCAAGACCGGCTATCAAGTTCTGCATCAGTCTAAATTTTTAGGTATCTTACGTTTTCTACATTTAACATTTAACATTTGTCTTTAGTTAGTTCCTGTGTGTTATACTCTTCATTGGAGAACAAGGAAAAGTCAAAGTCAATTTACCCTGTAGTAATTGTGAGCACTTTAATAACCTGCTATGTGCAAATTCAACACCACCCTTTGCACATGTGACTGCAGAGACTAATGTAAACCTTGAAAACCAGGTGCGGGGGATTGACTTCCATCAAACCCTTAAATTGTGTTGATGTGAAGCTTCACTGTCGACGTATCTGTTACAGATACTTTCTCCGGAAGATCCGGGATGACCCTGCGCACCCAGGACACACTCTATTTACCACCCTTCCATCAGGCAGACTTAGGGTTCTAAAAACCCGTACCAACCGGATGAAGAACAGTTTCTTCCCCACGGCGGTAAAGAGGCTTCTGCAGGACCCATAGCGCCATCTCATTCCACAACTGCACACACACACCATCTACTACCTCCTATCCAAAGGGACAGTTGCAATAACCTGATGCACAGATCACTTTTATAAATTAATATTTTACTTGAATACTGTCATAACTACTGTTTCACTTTTTATATTCTGTCTTATATGCTATTTATTAGCTATTTATATTTATTTATACAGATTTTTTTTTTTAATTCTTATGTCAAGCTGCTACTACGGGGAGAGATGCCAAACGAAATTTCGTTGTATTATGTACAATGACAATAAAGCTTCTTCTTCTTCTTCTTTCTCATGTGGTTCATTTGATTTGGTTTGTCTAAGATAACTTGATTCTTGGGTCACTATGCAACATTTCCTAAAAAACAACAAAGGATCACAGAAGGAAGTGAACTCCTTGTCACTGTGACACAGCTCACCACTGCACACCACCAAATGTGACCTCTGTTTTTAACCCATCACCAAAGTGAACAGTGGCAGCTTTAAGAACCAGGGAGCAGTGAGGGGGGACGGAGCCATGACAGAGCACCTCCGTGGGAACAGAGCTGCTTGTAAAGTTAAAAGAAGAAGAAGAAGCAAGGCTGGTCTATGAACTGTTGTTTTAAAGTAGTTTTTCTTTTCACAATCTAACACATCCGAAACAATGTCATGAAGGTGATGGTGTATACAGCTGACCAGCCAGGCAGATGAGTTCATGGCTCAATTCATTTTTATTATTTATTATTATTATTATTATTATTATTATTATTATTATTATTGTTAAGTATGCCTATATATTATATATATGAATTAGCCAAAAGGCTACTTTGCATCTTTTGTCCATGTCAGATACAAATGACCAATAAGAAAAACAACACTCCATCAGACACTGCACAACAAAACATTAAACATTAACACCTCTTAGGAACAATACCCAAAAGATTCTCCTCAGTTTCACACAACAAAGAGACAGGTGACTGAAATCAGTCGAATCACATCGACCCACCAGACTCCTAACAACTGTTTACACTTTCCCAGTTGACCCCAACGCCCCACCCAACATGAGGGACCTGAAGTAGCTTTATTCTTTCACACCCAGAGTATATATTTGCTGTACTCCCCACCAGTTAGAACTGAAGAAGCCTCTTGGATGAGAGGTGAAACGTCTTCTCTGAGAAAATTCACGTCCAGTTGCCTAACAGAACTTTTCAACCATTAAACATTAAACAAAACACATGTTGGCCTAAAACTAAGGACCACATGTTTGGTTTCTCTGCAGGAATTGTTTGACATTAGTGTTTAACTGTGGTCCAGTCTCACTGACCTTGGCGGACAACACCAACACATCTTCAAACTTCTGGACAGTATCTGGAGTGGAAATGCTGTGAGTGATGGAGAATCACTATGGACGTGACATGTGACTCCAGACATTTCAACAGAAATCCTCACTGGAGAGTCATGTTTTTTTTTTAATATGTTGTCAAACAAACAATCCCCCAAGAGGAAAAAGCTCTGTAGATTTCATATTTGTAACAGCCCAGTGAACACTGGACACAGTGGAGCAGTGGGCTGCACCTTTTCAGTGTTCTCCTAACACACTGCAGCGCTGCCACTGCTGGGATTCAACCCAGCTATCTTTCATTATTCTTTATTTATAAAAGTTTTCATAATTATCAGCTCAACAATTGATTGAAAACTTTTTAGCAAAATATTGTTTTTTTAGAATTTTCCACAGTTGATATTTGAAGCACCAAACCAATAAATGTTGTAAATGTTAGTATGAAATTTGAAATTATGTGTGGGTCAGGTATGCGTGTTGGCAGTCAGCGAAAAGTCGTGACAGTAAAACAAAGAACAGAACGACAATGATGACATAATAAGCAGGTTGATGGCAGAGCCACATTTATTAATGGGTGGAGTACACACTGACGCTTTGTTGTGCATTTATATGTTTATGTTCAAACAGTTGTGATCCACACTTCAGAAGAACTTCCTGGTCAAAAAAATTCAACCTGGCATCAAGGTCACAGGTTCAGATTGGTACAAGGGAAAGTGATCCATGGGGGAGAACCTACATGGGAAATGGAACCACCGACTGACTAACAATCAGTCAACATGCACTGAGGTGGACTATGCATGAGAGGAAATCTATCTATCTCTCACTTTTTAAATTTTCAAATGTTTCTTTTAAGTTTATACGAATAAAAAGTCAAATGTTCTAAGACCGGTCTTTCAGTTCTCAGTCTCACAAAATACACGCAAACATTTTCCACACACAAAACTGAAAAAAAAAAAAAAACAGCGTTCAATCCAATAGGAAAAAAATGGCCATGCACAGTTCAGGGAACTGTGTAGTAGCTATGGCAGTTTATTAAATCACTCCGTATATCACTCACTATTGGCTGGTGACTGCCACACATGGACAAAATGCCATTTTCCCTGAAGTTCTCCGTCCATGAATGTGTGTATGATAGACATTGATGATGAATTTAGTAACCGAGCAACAGATTTGTCATTTTGAAAGTGAAAAAATGGCATGTTTAAAACAGACCATGACCAAGAAAAGGAACGTTGACTGTGAGAAGTGAATACCTATTTGTCCAAGTGCTAAACCAATGTGGTCTGGACTTCTCAGCTTTTATTTTTGGAGCTATGGAATTTGGAAGTTGATGTGCGTTTTCTGGACGTTGACTGCAGCGGGTTTATAAATGTGGACACCTTGACCACTGTGTAGAGCCGGCGTGGGCAAACTTTTTGAGTCGCAGGTTTAAAATTGAACAGGGGGGGGGCAGATCAGGAGTGGAAAGATGGAGCGTTTGTCTGAACTAAGATAAATGACATGGCAAAGGTTAGGCATAAAGGCTAAAATGGCATTTTTAGCATTATTTACTCCATCTATTGGGGAATCGTGGGTATTGGAGGGAAAAGGCAGAAGTATATAGTGATATAAATAAATTATATAATTTGGAAAAGTTTGGGCGCTTTGGCCCAGAGACAATGTCTCTGTCATTGGTGTAGAACCCCAGGGTTCACCTCCTGGGCAAGTTCAAATCCCGGTTAGGGCGGTTGGTACCTTCCAGTGGACTGACCACCTGCAGGAAGGTTTAGGGGGGGTTGGTACGGTTCAGTGTGATTTGGGTGGAGACTGCTGCCCCAGCGACCCGGTAACGGATAAGCAGATGGATGGATGGATGGAAAAGTTTGGCTGGCCAGATAAAAAAGCTGAACGGGCCGCATCCTGCCCCCAGGCCTTAGTTTGTCCATGCCTGGTATAAAGTCTGTACTCTTTTTACTGGGTAGTTCAAATACAATGGCCAGTTTCTGTGTTTGGAAAAATGGGTGAGCCTGTACAATTCTAATTCTCTAATTCCACTTCTGATTGTTTCAAATTCTGGGGATTTGGATTGAGAGATGATAAAAGTAACTTTTGAACAGAATAGAATGTTTTTTTAAATGTTGCATAAAAATGACTTATCACTGAACATAACATAATCTTTATCCCAGCACTGAAAACTGTCACAAAACACTATCGGGAAGCTGGTGCTTGAGTGATGTTTTCATAAACAGTGACAGGGTTTTTACATTTGTCAGCTACATAGATAACAAATTAAATCATTTGATTAAATCTGCTGCAAGAGACTAGATGGTGAGATGAAAACCAGATAAACGCAAAAAGACTTTGGAATAATTTGTTCATGAGAAAGAAAGCATGGATCATAATGTTTTTGGGGAGAGAGAGTAATAACTCCAGCCAAACCACAGGTTTCTAACCACATGAAAGCCTCACCAAAGCCCTTTTTGGAAAAAGTCTCACCACAGTTTAATCACTCTTGGGCCCAATCATAAATGAAGAATTTTAATAATAATGTGTGTGTCCTACTTTCAATGAAATGCTTGTCTGCTTGAATTTCAATCTGACATGTGAGAGGACATACTTGTGTTCCTTTGTTTTGGCCGTAACTCCTGGCTGGCTGAAACATCTTGTCACGAAAATTGCATTTTGTGGAAGGGAACACAGGAGATATATATATATACACATATATTTGTGAACAAAAACACTAATGTTATGTATTATTTCTGTGTTTGCTCATGCACCTTAACGTTGCTTGAATATTAATTTAATATTAAATTAAAGTCCCTTTTTGTTATTGCATTATTGAGTGTCTTTCTTTCGTTCCTGACCACGGCAGCAAGCGTTACCAAATAACAAAGCCTTAAACAGCAGCATTCATTGATAAGCCTCGCTGTAATTGACGCAGTTGTTACAAC